GTTCTCCCCAAGCGAGCTCGATGGGCCGAATGGCCTCCTCTCGTTTGTATAGTTCTTATGTTCTTATGAAACTACTCAGAGATGCATGTAGCACGCAAGCGGTCATTCAGGAAGTGATGCATTTACTTCCATCACTGAACTGGGAGAACCCCCCAGGACAGCAGTCGAACAGCGAGGTGCCAGACATAGGTAGAATAATATAAATTCTTAACAAGGCATTCATATTTAGTCAATTTTATCTGCTAATCTATTTATTGCACATGAAACGTACTGAGAAGTCTTGGTGGACGAATTAAGTTGATTGTACCTTAACAGGCAGAAACCAATAAACTGAAGAATTTACTCTTCATGCAGAAATATATTAATTTTTATTTAGATTTTATTTATTAGATGTATGCTGCACAAACATTGTACCTGATTACATCAGTCCAAGGACACAATTATCCTATGATTGGAAAAGTTTTAAATTATCTCCACACAAACTTTCTTTTTTTTTTTCTTTCCCAAGATTAGCCAATTATAGGCTAAAGGAGATCTACATGGCTGCTGAAAAACAACCTCCCGCAGAATAGAGCCAGGGCTTCTTCTTATGACTGGTTACCCTCCTATACAACAGCTGAGACCAAAAGAGGCAGAGTGCCTGTAGAAGGCAAATTCATACTGCCAGCTGGCTGCAACACAGGCGTGCTCTCTCTCTCTCTCACTCTCTCACACACACACACACACTCTCTCTCTCTCTCACATACACACACAAAGCAGTGGTGCAGACCTGCCTCCCCTGAGACACTACTGGGTAGCATTGCACATGCACAGAAGACACACATCACATACTCGCTGCTCATTACTTATTACCTGAACGGATACCCTGACTAAGAGTAGCTTCCTAATCTCCAGCTTCCCCCCCACAAGTCCTCAGTTATGTGCCCCCACATACCATATTAGAAGTCTGTCTTTTTCATAAGAGCTCTTGCACAGTTTCTTTTTTTTAGGTGTTGTTTATTTTACACTCGTGTGAGCGGATTGCTCGTTAACAAATAAACAGCTTGGCCACAGGAGGAGGGCACGAGAGTGAGGCCACAGGAGGAGGGCACGAGAGTGAGGCCACAGGAGGAGGGCACGAGAGT